AATAATGGGGCTCTACCAGGTAATAATGGGGCTCTATAACTCACTAATGGGGCTCTACGAAGAAATAATGGGGCTCTATGATGCAATAATGGGAGTCTATGACGCAATAATGAGGGTCTATGAGGTAATGGTGTCTATGAGGCAATAATGGGGCTCTATAATGCAATAAGGGTCTCTACAAGGTAGTAATGGGGCTCTATGACACAATAATGGGGCCCTGTGAGGCAATAATGGGGCTCTATGAGGCAATAATGGGGCACTCTGAGGCAATAATGAGGCTCTATGAGGCAATAACAGGGCTCTGAAAAAATAATGGGGCTCTATGATGCAATAATGGGGCTCTATGAGGTAATAATTGGGCTCTATGATGCAATAATGGGGCTCTATGAGGCAATAATGGGGCTCTGATGCAATAATGGGGCTCTATGAGGTTATAAGGGGGTTCTATGAGGCAATAATGGGGCTCTATGAGGCAATAATACGGGTTCTATGACGCAATAATGGAGCTCTATGATGCAATAATGGGGCACTATGATGCAAGAATGGTGATCTATGAGGCAATAATGGGGCACTATGAGAATAATGGGGCTGTATGACGCAATAATGGGGCTCTATGAAGCAATAATTGGGGTTCTATGACACAATAATGGAGCTCTATGACGGAATAATGGGTCTCTATGAGGCAATTATGGGGCTCTATGTCGCAACAACGGGACTGTATGAGGCAATAATGGGGCACTGAGGCAATAATGGGGATCTATGAGGCAATAATGGGGCTCTATGAGGGAATAATTGGGCTCTATGATGCAATAACGGGGCTCTATGAGGCAATAATGGAGCTCTATGATGCAATAATGGGGCATTATGATGCAAGAATGGTGCTCTATGAGGCAATAATGGGGCACTATGAGAATAATGGGGCTCTATGAAACAATAATGGGGCTCTTTTAGGTTATAACGGGGTCTATGAGGCTATAATGGGGCTCTACAAGGTAATAATTGGGCTCCATAATGCAATAATGGGGCTCTATGACGGAATAAAGGGGGTCTATGACGCAATAATGGGGCTGTATGAGGTAATAAGTGGGCTCTATGATGCAATAATGGGGCTTTATGAGGAAATAATGGGGCTCTGTGATGCAATAATGGGGCTCTATGAGGTAATAATTGGGCTCTATGATGCAATAATGGCACTCTATGAGGCAATAATGGGGCTCTATGTAGCAATAATGGGGCTCTATGGGGCAATAATGGGGCTCTATGAAACAATAATGGGGCTCTATGATGCAATAATGGGGGTCCATGATGCAATAATGGGGTTCTATGAGGCAAAAATGGGGCTCTATGTGGTTATAAAGGGGCTCCATGAGGCAATAATGGGGCTCTATGAGGCCATAATGGGGCTCTCTGAGGCTATAATGAAGCTCTCTGAGGTTATAATGGGGCTGTATGACACAATAATGGGGCTCTATGAAGCAATAATTGGGGTTCTATGACACAATAATGGAGCTCTATGACGGAATAATGGGTCTCTATGAGGCAATTATGGGGCTCTATGTCGCAATAATGGGGCACTATGAGGCAATAATGGGGATCTCTGATGCAATAATGGTGCTCTATGAGGGAATAATGGGCCTCTATGATGTATAAATGGGGCTCTAGAAAACAATAATGGGGCTCTATGATGCAATAATGGGGCTCTATGAGGCAATAATGGGGCTCCATGAGGAAATAATGGGGCTCTATGAGGCTATAATGGTGTCTATGAGGCTATAATGTGGCTCTACGAGGTAATAATGGGGCTCTATGACGCAATAATGGGGCTCTATGAGGTAATAATGATGTCTAGGAGGCAATAATGGAGCTCTATAACGCAATAAGGGTCTCTGCAAGGAAATAATGGAGCTCTATGAGGCAATAATCGGGCTCTATAATGCAATAATGGGGCTCTATGAGGGAATAATTGCGCTCTATGAGTTAATAATGGGGCTCTATGAGGTTATTATGGGGCTCAATGACGCAATAATGGGTCCCTATGAGGTAATAATTGGGTTCTATGACGCAATAATGCAGTTCTATGAGGCAATAATGGGGCTCTATGATGCAATAATGGGCCTCTATGAGGTTATAATGGAATTCTATGATGCAATCATGGGGCTCTATGAGGCAATCATGGGGCTCTATGGGGCTATAATGGGGTTCTATGACTCAATAATGGAGCTCTATGACACAATAATAGGGCCCTATGAGGCAATAATGGGGCTATATGATGCAATAATGGGGCTCTATGCAGTTATAATGGGGCACTATGAGGCAAGAATGGGGCTTTACAAGGTAATAATGGGGCTCTATGACGTAATAATGGGAGTCTGTGATGCAATAATGGGGCTCTATGAGGTAATAATGGGGCTCTAGGAGGCAATAATAGGGATCTAAGGCTATAATCGGGCTCTATGGGGCAATAATGGGGCTGTATGATGCAATAATGGGGCTCTATGAGGCAATAATGGGGCTCTATAACGCAATAATGGGGTTCTATGTGGTAATAATGGGGCTCTATGACGCAATAATGGGGGGTCTCTGACACAATAATGGGGCTCTATGAGGTAATAATGGTGTCTATGTGGCAATAATGGGGCTCTATGAGGCAATAATGTTGCCCTATGAGGCAATAATGGGGCTCTATGGGGCAATAATGGGGCTCTATGAGGCAATAATGGGGCTCTATAACGCAATAATGGGGCTCTACGTGGTAATAATGGGGCTCTATGACGCAATAATGGGGGGTCTCTGACACAATAATGGGGCTCTATGAGGCAATAATGTTGCCCTATGAGGCAATAATGGGGCTCTATGGGGCAATAATGGGGTTCTATGGGGCAATAATGGGGCTCTATGATTTCCCGCCAGTAGGATTAATCATGCAATCGGTTGACTCTGATAAGGAGAAATTGAAAATTCTCGAGTGCCAATTTTTGTCACATCAACCATAAAAAACATTGTAATGAGACCTGAAACGTTTGCTAAGTTGCCTCTTTGCAAAACAGGGCTGCCATAGACTTCTTATTATTAGCGCAAGGTCATGGCTGTAAAGATTTTGAGGGTATGTGCTGCATGAATTTGTCAGACTTTTCGGAATCTATTCATAAAACTATTCAGGAACTGAAAAAAGGAGTAACAAAGTTACAGATAAATGATGGATTTTTTGGATTAGGAAATTGTCTTAACTCCCTAGGACTTGGGACATGGTTTGTTTCATTGATCAAAGGAGGTCTTATAATGCTATTCATTGTTATTTGTATCTTACTGATTGTTCCACGTTTATTGAGTTGCCTACAGCGAACGTCAGAAAACACGGTAAAGCAAGTGATGTTTTTAGAAAAACAAAAAGGGGGAGATGTAGGAGAAGAGGCGTTTGAACGCGATCAGAGGATGCTGAGCGACCTTGATTCTTTGGGGAATTAACTTTGAGCCAGACTCTGTAATTTTAGCTTTGGGGGGAACTAATATCAAGCAAGAAAGGTGGAGCAAAAGGGGATGAAAATGAGAAGTAGAAGAAGGAACTGAGAAGTGAGGAGAAGGTCGAAAGGACAGTGTCAAAAAAGCAGACTAATCAATTCTAATTTTAGATTATGCTCGCGGACAGCAGCAACTAACCAAGTGTATTGTAGCTTTAAGTGCGTGGATATGATCAAAAACATATATAAACCATGTAATCTAAAGTAAAGAGGTCTTCGACCAGCAATCGGACTCCGTGCCTTAAATCCCCTCACTAAAGGAGAAAGGTGATTTTAGAAACTGGACTACTACACCCGAATATAATTGACTTCTGAAGATGCTGCTACATTTCTTTTGTACAGAGTATAAATAAGGCAAGTTCTTTTTACTTACTGAGCTGTGATGTAGAAAGCGTTGATCTAGAACAGCTGCAAAAAATTAGTTATTCACATATACTTTAGAAAAGGCTTAATACAGAAGGACAGGGAAAGGGTTGCGTGTTTAATATTAGCATAGCGGAGTGACACTTACTGCAAATTTAATTACCTAATACGCATATTTGAGTGTTGCCTGAAAATAATCACTGACGACTTACTGTAGTGACTGAAAAATTAGCAGCTCCAACTGCTGAGGATGCTAGAGGCTGACAGACGCAGTGGTTGCTGCTGTCAGAACAAAGGGAGAAGCTGGTGGGAATGCAAACACATTTTTTAAGGTAGTACTTACTATCACTAAGGTGTCTAGAGCAAATGGTGGGCAAACAGTCATAGAATAGTTAGGGCAAGAAAGGACTTCAAGATCATCTACTTACAACCTCCCTGCTGACATGGAGAAAACTCCAGGAACAAACTCACCACCACAGTTTTCAAGCTGACAAGCAGGTATTCCTTACTGCGGCACCGGGAGACACGGGGGATAGCTCCACTTAGCGTGTATCACCCCGATTGTCACACAAGCCGTCCTTTTATAGCCACTGGGCATACATACATATTCATGAGGCTACGAATGGATTATATCGTTTTCCAGAGAGTTCCCCGCATGCGTACAGAATTGTGGGGGTGGTCTCTGAGGGTTGTTTGCTTACTCCAACGATCTTCATCACTTCTGGCAGCCTTTGAAGCACGCGCAGTAGATGCTCATACCAGTTTAATTGGTTCGTTAGCACCAGAGACGTAACAATCCTCCTATCCTCCTACTGATCAGGTAGTTTAACTGCAGCCCATCCTGGACACCTGCGGTTCCCAGATACTCCTTATCCTGTGTCCTGTTCTTCTAGACTGTTTTTTCCTTAAAACTATGTCAACTATAGCAATTTCTCTTGTGAGAATTCTCAGTATGTTCTCTATGTTCTCTAGCTTCTCTATGTAATCTTTTTCTCTATGTATCATGCACCTCAGTAATTTTCCATTGCTACTGTTACAAAGCCATCAAACTTAACATTACTTAAAGCTAATTATAAAGATTTCATTGTCCCAGCGACGGAGGGGGCGGGGGGGGGGGGGCTCAGCTCCTCCTTGTCCATGGTGCTGAAGAAGATGTGAGATCCTCAGTGTCCCTTATGGAACTGCGTCTCCCTATGGAATCCCAGCACTCCTTATGGAATGGCAGCATTCTCTATGGAATGACGGTGTTCCCTATGGAATGCCATTGTCCGGGGGGGGTCACAGCTCTTCCTTGTCCACAGTACCGGAGAAGAAGAGGGCGAAGCGGCAGAGATGGCGCGAGGCCGAGTGCAATTCCTGCTGCAGGTGCCAGTTGTTGTGGCGCAGGTTGGCCACTTCCACCTGGAGAACCACCTTGTCCTGCTTCTCCTGTAGGATACAAGCTCAGAGCCCCAAAACAGACCCAAAACAGCCCCAAAATTGCCCCAAAACTAGCCCATAACCACCTTATTTTGCTTCTCCTATGGGATACGGGGTTAGAGCCCCAAACCATAAAAAAAACCAGGACAAAACCACCCCAAAACAGCCACAAAACACCCCAAAACCATCCCAAAACCACCTTGTCCTGCTTCTCCTATGTGCTACAGGGTCAGAGCCCCAAAACAGCCCCAAAACAGGATAAAACCACACCAAAATACCCTCACAACACCACAAAAACCATCCAAAAACCACCTTGTTCTGCTTGTCTTATGAGATACAGGGTCAGAGCCCCAAAACAGGACAAAAACAGCCCAAATCACCCAAAAACCACCTTGCCCTGCTTCTCCTAAGAGATAAAGGGTCACAGCCCCAAAACAGGACAAAACCACCCCAAAACACACAAAACCACACACAAAACACCCCAAACCACAGCAAAACCACTCAAAAACCACCTTGTCCTGGTTCTCCTGTGGGATACAGGGTCAGAGCCCCAAAACAGACCCAAAAAAGCCCCAAACCAACCCAAAAAACATCCGAAAACGACCCCAAAAACACCTTGACCTGCTTCTGCTGTGGGATACAGGGACAGAGCAGAAAACCAGCTCCAAAACAGGCCAAAATCACTCAAAACCCCCCAAAACACGCCCAAAAGAGAACCGAAAAATACCTTGTCCTGCTTCTCCTATGGGATACAGGGTCAGAGCCCCAAAACAGACCCCAAAACAGGCCAAAACCACCCCAAAACACCCCCAAAACCACCTTGTCCTGCTTCTCCTATGAAATACAGGGTCAGAGCTCCAAAACAGACCCAAAACAGCCTCAAAACACACCAAAAAAACAGCCCAAAACCACCTTGTCTTGCTTCTGCTATGGGACACAGGGTCAGAACACAAAAACAGCCCTAAAAAAGGACAAAAACAACCTAAAACACCCCAAAAACCAGCCCAAAACCACCATGACCTGCTTCTCCTCTAAAATACAGGGTCAGAGCCCAAAAACAGACCCAAAACAGGACCAAAAAACACCAAAACACCCCAAACGCAGCCCAAAACTACCTTGTCCTGCTTCTGCTATGGGATACAGGGTCAGAGCCCCAAAACAGACCCAAAACAGGACAAAAACAACTCAAAACACCCAAAACCACCCCAAAACCACCTTGTCCTGCTTCTCCTAAAGGATACAGGGTCAAAGCCCCAAAACAGCCCCAAAACATGACAAAAACAACCCAAAACACCCAGAAAACCCCAAAACCCAGCACAAAACCACCTTGTCCTGCTTCGCCTGTGGGATACAGGGTAAGAGCCTCCAAACAGCCCCAAAACAGGACAAAACCAGCGCCAAACGCCCAAAACACCCCAAAACACCCCAAAACCACCCTGTCCTTCTTCTCCTATAGGATACAGGGTCAGAGCCCCAAACACACCAAAACCACCCCATAACCACCTTGTCCTGCTTCTCCTATGGGATACAGGGCCAGAGCACCAAAACAGACACAAAACAGCCTCAAAACACCCCAAAAACCAGGCCAAAACCACCTTGTGCTGCTTCTGCTATGGGACACAGGGCCAGAACCCAAAAGAGCCCTAAAAAAGGACCATAACAACCTAAAACACCCCAAAAACCAGCCCAAAATCACCTGGTGCTGCTTCTTCTATGGGATACAGGGTCAGAGCCTCCAAACAGCCCCCAAAAATGCCAAAAACAGTCAAATACCACCAAAACAGCTCCAAAACACCCCAAAACCACCTTGTCCTCCTTCTCCTACAGGATACAGGGTCACAGCCCCCAAAAAGACCCAAAACAGGCCAAAAGCAACCCAAAACACCCCCAAAACCACCCCAAAACCATCTTGTCCGGCTTCTCCTGTGGGATACAGGGTCAGAGGCACAAAACAGACCCAAAACACCCCAAAAACACCCCAAAACACCCCAAAACCCAGCCCAAAAGCACCTTGTCCTGCTTCTGCTATATGATACAGGGTCAGAGATCCAAAACAGCCCCAAAACAGGACAAAACCAACCCAAAACCAGCCCAAAAACCCAAGCCAAAACCACCTTGTCCTGCTTCTGCTATGGAATACAGGGTCAGAGCCCCAAAACAGACCCAAAACAGGACAAAAACAACCCAAAACACCCCAAAATCACCTTGTCCTGCTTCTCCTATGGGATACAGGGTCAGAGCCTCCAAACAGCCCCAAAACATGCCAAAAACAGTCAAAAACCACCAAAACAGACCCAAAACACCCCAAAACCACCTTGCCCTGCTTCTCCTATACGATATAGAGTCAGAGCCCCAAAAAGACACAAACAGGCCAAAAACAACCCACAACACTCCAAATCCCAGCCCAAAACCACCTTGTCCTGCTTCTGCTATGGGATACAGGGTCAGAGCTCCAAAACAGACTCAAAACAGGCCAAAAAAAACCCCAAAACACCCAAAAACCCAGCCCAAAACCACCTTGTCCTGCTTCTGCTACAGGATACAGGGACGCAACCCCTAAACAGACCCCAAAAAAACGCAAAATAGGACAAAACCACCCCAAAAGCACCTTGTCCTGCTTCTCCTATGAGGTACAGGGTCAGAGCCCCAAAACAGTCCCACAACAGGACAAAACCACGCAAAAACCAGGACAAAACACCCAAAGCAAACGGCAAAACAGGACAAAACTACCCCAAAACCACCTTGTCCTGCTTCTCCTACAGGATAAAGGGTCAGAGCCTCAAAACAGCCCCCAAACAGGACAAAAACACTCCAAAACCCCGCAAAAAGCCCCAAAACACCCCAAAACCACCTTGTCCTGCTTCTCCTATGGGATACAGGGTCAGAGGCCCTAAACACCCCAAAACCAAGACAAAACTACCCCAAAACCACCTTGTCCTGCTTCTCCTACAGGATACAGGGTCAGAGCCTCAAAACAGCCCCCAAACAGGACAAAAACACTCCAAAACCCCCCAAAAAGCCCCAAAACACCTCAAAACCACCTTCTTCTTCTCCTATGGGATACAGTGTCAGAGCCCCAAAACAGACCCAAAAAAACACCAAAACAGGACAAAACCACCCCAAAACCACCTTGTCCTGCTTCTCCTGTGGGATACAGGGTCAGAGCCTCAAAACAGACCCAAAACAGGCCAAGTACAACCCAAATCACACCAAAACCAGCTCCAAAACCCCCAAACCAACCCAAAACCACCTTGTCCTGCTTCTCCTATGGAACACAGGGTCAGAGCCCCCAAAAAGACACAAAACATGACAAAAATAGGACAAAACCACCCCAAAACCACCTTGTCCTGCTTCTCCTATGGGATACAGGGTCAGAGCCCCCCAAAAAGACACAAAACATGACCAAAATATGGCAAAACAACCCCAAAACTACCTTGTCCTGCTTCTACTCCGGGGTACACATTCACAGCCCCCAAACAACCCCAAACCTGCCTCAAAACAGGACAAAACCAGGCCAAAACACCCAAAACAACCCCCAAAACCACCCCAAAATCACCTTGTCCTGCTTCTCCTATGGGACACAGGTCAGAGCCCCAAAACAGGACAAAACCAACCTAAAACCAGCTCAAAACCACCTTGTCCTGCTTCTGCTGTGGGATACAGGGTCAGCGCCCCAAAACAGACCCAAAACAGCCCAAAAACCACCCCAAGCCCACCTTGTCCTGCTTTTCCTGTGGGATACTGGGTCAGAACCCCAAACCAGACCCAAAACAGGCCAAAAACAACCCAAAAACCACCCCAAGCCCACCTCTTCCTGCTTCTCCTGTGGGATACATAGTCAGAACCCCAAAACAGCTGCAAAACAGGATAAAAGCAACCCAAAACCATTCAAAACAGACCCAAACCACCCTAAACCAGGTGTCTGCTTCTCCTTATCAATGGTTAGTGCCTTTGTTCTGCTTAGTAGGCATGATAGGTACAGACCATACTTTTGTTTTAGCAAGTGAATTCCTCTAACCCCCTTGTACAACTCCATTGTACAACCCCCCTGTACACTGGTTAACCCTGTATCAGATGGATGGATAGATGGATGGATGGATGGGTGATGGATGAATGGATGGGTGATGGCTTGGTGATGGATGGATGATGGATGGATGGACGAATGGATGGATGATGGATGAATGGATGGATGATGGATGATGGATGATGCATGTATGGAAGATGGGTGATGGATGAATGGATGAGTGGAAGGATGACGGATGATGAAAGATGGATGATGGGTGGATGACGGATGGATGATGGAAAATGGATGAATGGATGAATGAATACACATAGATTCCATAAGCCTCATCTCCTATTACTTTCCCATCTGTAATGCTGAAAGCCCATTGTGAAGAGCAGCACTGAACCATTGAAACCCTTGTAGGGTCCAAACACAAATCAGTCTATTTCAAACAAATTTTTTAATCATGTCCAATTTAATAGTTCAGTGTCCCAGGGCAGCTCCTCACAGCAATCAGTCAAACCATGGACAGTTCAGGCTCAGTCCAGTTCAGTCACTCACAAGGGGATGGCGTGGGATTGACATGGGATGGGAAGGGGTGGGATCGAATGGGATTAGGATGGGTTGAGGTGGGATGGAATGGAGTGGGCCTGGGTGGGGTGGGATGCAAAGATGAGACGAGATGAGATGCAATGCAATGCAATGGGATGCTTTGAGATGCAATAAGATGCCATGGGATGGCAAGAGACAGGGGATAGGAGATAGGAGATAAATAAGAGAGGAAGAAGAGGCGAGGCGAGGCGAGAAGAGAAAGGGATGAGGACGATGAAATGAAACTCAATGAAATGGTATCAAATGGACATGAAATTAAATGAAATAAAGTGAAAAAACAAAATGAAATGAAATGAAATGATATGATAGGAAATGGTATATTTTTGGAGAGAAGAGGAGGAGAGAAAATGACAAGGAGGAGAAAAGAAACCAAATGCAA